GCAGGCCGACGCTCTATCCACTGAGCCAAACCGGTTACGGCCCGGGGGCATCTTTAAAAAAAATTATTGATTTCAGAGAGGAAGGGAGAGGGAGAGAGAGACAGAAACATCAACGATGAGAGAGAATCATGGATCGGCCTCTTCCTGCCCGATGAGGGATCGAGCCTGAAACCCGGGCATGTGTCCTTGACCGGAATCGAACCCGGGTCCCAGAGGCCAATGCTCTGTCCACTGAGCCAAACCAGCGAGGGCAGCAAACAGTGATTTTAGCCACTGATTTTTAAGTGAATTCTTCATTCATTTAAAAAGAATCTTAGTTTTGCTTTTCTTACTAGGAAGCTACTTCGAAATCACCATCCTTCTACCCTCCTCCTTCTTCTGTCTCCCATTCCCTCTTCATCCTGTTTCTTTAACAGCCCCACCCTGCGTGCACGCAGACACGGAAAATGTCACCTAGTAAGAAAGTTGGCTTTTTCTCGTATGGATGACTGAATCTGCTCTGATGGAAGGCTTGGGAATATCGTCAGTTTGATTTAATTTTTGGAGTTTAATTAAATGGTAGTTTTATACTCTGAGGACATGCAGACTTAATTAGTGAAACCGTGTTTTCAGATCTTCACGGAACCGACTCCACGTGTGTGTGTGTGTGTGTGTGTGTGTGTGTGTTTGTATGTGATCCGCGGTGTGTTTCTCGTTGCAGCCGTGTTAAAGATGTCCACGATGCCTTGGAAGTGACAGTGTTTGATGAGGACGGCGACAAACCCCCGGATTTCCTTGGGAAAGTCTCCATTCCCTTGCTGTCCGTAAGTTGCCTTTGTTAATACACAGTTTGTGAGTCATTGTGCGGTTGACAACTTTCTATGGTCTAAGCTGCTTCATCTTTTCAACCTGGGCCAGGAGAACACTTTAAACCAGCCGTGGGCAAACTACGGCCCACGGGCCGGATCCGGCCCTGTCCGTAAGTTGCCTTTGTTAATACACAGTTTGTGAGTCATTGTGAGGTTGACAACTTTCTATCATCTAAGCTCCTTCATCTTTTCAACCTGGGCCAGGAGAACACTTTAAACTCTAGCCGGAAACAACTGTTTTATTCCAGTAGTTTCAAATATAAAGTGACATAATTTTCTCGCTGTGTCAGTCCAATATGATTGAACCAACCAAACCGTTTTGACCAGCCTTTTTTTTTCTTTCTTTTTTCTTAAATATGGTTTTACTGATTTCAGAGAGGAAGGGAATGGGGGAGAGAGAGATAGAAACATCAATAACGAGAGAGAATCATTGATCGGCTGCCTCCTGCACGCCCCCTACTGGGGACCGAGCCCACAACCCGGTTATGTGCCCGGACCAGGAATTGAAACCATGACCTCCTGGTTCATAGGTCTGTGTTCAACCACGGAGCCACGCGGGTCAGGCAAGGTGTGGCTGTTTCTATTCAGATTGATTTCCGATTCCTTGATCAATAAATTGGGAAAGTGATCAGCTCCTCAGAGGGTCTATGGGGGCTCTTCCTGCAGCACACGCTCTACAACTGAACTGATTCTCTACCTAACATCTAGCCCAGTGGTCGGCAAACTGCAGCCCCTTGAGTGTGGCTCTTCCACAAGATACCACGTGCGGGCACGCACGTACAGTGCGATTGAAACTTTGTGGCCACACTCAAGGGGCCAAAGAGCCGCATGTGGCTCACGAGCCGCAGTTTGCCAACCACTGGTCTAGATATAATTCTAATTAAAAATATGCCAAAACGCTAAGTATCTCTAACAGGAAACATTTTATTCCTTAAATCTTCTGCTCGATAACATAGTAAATATGCGTTGGAAAATAGTACACCCATTGGAGAGTTTTAAAACATTTCCAGGCTAGACACCATCTCCTAATAATTATCTCATTCAGTAGATTTATTTAACATGTCTATCCTCAACTAAGCGGTCCTAATTCTGTCCTGAAAATCTGGCTGGATTTTTCTCATCGATCTAGGTCATTCTTTTTTATTTAAACACTAGAGGCCCGATGCACGAATTTCATGCAATGGGTTTGGCCTTTGCAGCCCTGGCCGACCCTCACAGCCCCTCGCAGCCTCGTCCAGCCTTTGCAGCCCCGGCTTCATCCTGAAGGTCGTCCAAAAGGACGTCTGGAAGGTCGTTAGGCTGTTCGGTCTAATTAGCATATTAGCTCTTTATTATATAGGATATGTTTACCCTCTAAATTATCTAATGGGCCAACCTAGGAAGGCTTTGAGAATCAGATTTCTGTAAAATAAGAAGAGCATCTCTTTATTATTATTTCCGAATGTCTGCGGCATGATGAGGTCCTACATTTCGAAACAAATTCTAATTCTCAGTGCAATCCATGCCAACATGTGAATCTGTAATCAGACGCACGCCTCACGCAGCCTTTAGCTTTCTCTGTGAATCCATGTGCGCAGTCGCAAGCTGCACCAGCAACAGCTTCACTTAATTAGTTTTATGGGACAAATTTTCTGTAATTGCTCCTCCCGAATAGTAAATGTCCACGCAAGTCCCCATTTGCATTTCCAATCGAGTATTTGCCCATGGTGCACCTGTGATGAGATTTGCACATTAGAATGGACACATTAACACCATCATTTTGTTTTGTGGTTAATGCTGAAATCTTGGCCATTAAAATAAATAACATTGATCTTTTACTTTGTGTTAATACTCATATATGGGAAACTAAATTTAAAAAATATTAAAAGTAGTCCCAAGGCAGGGCTCACATGGTGATTTTTGAACGCAAATGTTCAGCTCTCCTCCTTGCCTAATTTTGATTCAATATGTCCATTGAAATACATAAAGGAAGATACACAGTAAGGCAAATTTCTCTCTTGGCCCTGCAAACTATGAGCGTAGCTTTGACATGCTGGAGTTACCACGAAACATATGTAATATATATGGTGTGTGTAGTTTATAGGGTGGATGATATGTGGATAGGATAGACAGCTAAGGGAGGAAGATGAATAATCAGTAGGATTTCTTTAATGTCCTATAACAAGAAGATGGCGTGTATAAATCTCAACATAGCAGGCATGATGGTAAATGTTGAATGGGTTGAACTTTTCTATTAGATGGAAAAACCTCTTACGGTGATTCAAAGAGGAAACCTAACTGCTACATCTTTGGAACACCTCCACATGGTAACACAGAAATGGGTGAACAAAAGCGATGACGTAACTGTAAATACAAGTCAGACATACAGAGGAGGCTGTTTTATGGGTTCAAAGAGCCAATGTCAGTATCAATAAGGTTATAACACACTTGAACGGCTATGTCAGCGGTTCTCAACCTGTGGGTCGCGACCCCTTGGGGGGGGTCTAATGACCCTTTCACAGGGGTCGCCTAAGACCATCGGAAAACATATATATATAATTACATATCGTTTTTGTGATTAATCACTATGCTTTAATTATGTATTTTTTGTAACCATGAAAATACATCCTGCATATCAGATATTTACATGACGATTCATAACAGTAGCAAAATTATAGTTATGAAGTAGCAATGAAAATAATTTTATGGTTGGGGGGCACCACAACATGAGAAACTGTATTAAAGGGTCGCGGCATTAGGAAGGTTGAGAACCACTGGTCTATGTGAATGATTTCGAATAGAAATGTGTGTGTGTGTGTGTGTGTGTGTGTGTGTGTGTGTGTGGTATTAGAAATACAGGAAATATTACAAAATTAGAATCACAAAATGATCACACATGTGATCTATTCAGCTTTAAAAATATCAGAAGGAAAAAATAAATAAGGCTGAGATATTTCTTGAAAGCCCAAATGTTTGAAAGTCCAAGTTGCACAGTGTGTGTTAATAGTGAAAGGCCCCCCACACCATCTCACAGCTACTGAATTTCTGGGGATGAGACCCTGTAGTCTCCTTTAAAATAAATAAATATATATATTTTTTTATTTCAGAGAGGAAGTGAGAGGGAGAGAGAGATAGAAACATCCATGATAAGAGAGAATCATTGATCGGCTGCCTCCTGCATACCCCACACTGGGGATCAAGCCCACAACCCCAGTATGTGCCCTGTTTGGGAATCAAACTGTGACCTCCTGGTTCATAGGTTGATGCTCTACCACTGAGCCATGTCGGCCGGGCTGCAGTCTCCTTTTCTAGCAAGTTCTCAGATGCATTTTAGGCGTACCGAAGTGGTTGCTCTCCAACTTTAGAGACTAAGCAGTGAGCTTAATTCATGCATGTGTGTGCATACACACACGTAAATATGTAAAATATTCTGATCAACTTCCCATTGAACATGTTCATGTATTGATCATGTTGCAGGTCCCAAATGCCTCAATAAAAAGAGACTTTACTGTGATCACAGTGCTAGGAAAATAGAAGTTAATAACAAAAGTGAAACAAGTATCAAAACACTTAGTGGAGGGGAAAAAATCCCAAGTAGCTAATGTAGATACCAAAACTGCAGCTCTAGAAAGAAGCAGTGCAATAGCACATTTAAAAACGGTGGAGAATTACCTTGGGAAAGGAAAGAGGACTTAGTGATTCCATGAGGATTCCTAAAGGCTATCTAGGTATGTTCCCTTTGTGATAATACACCAAACTTTCCAAGGAATATGTATGTTTAGGTATCCGTGTTATATTTCACTTCAATAATGAATGAAAGTACGGTCCTTCTAATTTCAGATTTCATTCCAAGCAATTTAAAAAATAACCCGATTACATTATGTCCCACTTGGAAATGAATGTTTTCTCCTCGAACAAATAAAAAGATAACAATGAAAAAAAAAAAAACGTGGAGAAGGGCCAAAAGTATTATTCAGAGGAAATTCTTAACGTGAATGTTTTCATAATTAAACAACAAAGGTTGAAAATCATTTAAGCATCTCAACAAAAGGAAATAAAACTAAGGACATTAGAAAGGAATTAATGAACATTAAAAAGTGAGCAACATGGAAAGTATGTACATGGTGTATTTGACAAATCCAAGGAATTACTTCTGTAAAATGTAATTCAACAGGCACGCCATTTACAAGGCTATGAAAAAAAGAGAAAAACACATTAGGAATTATGAAAGAACAAGAAATATAGGGATCACTATGAATAACACACCTACATTTTATTGAGGAGTATGAGTGGAAACTTAAAAAAAAAAAAGAATAATATCACCAACATAGAAAAGGTGTGTCTTTTTCATCAATAAAGAAAAGACATGTCTGCCCAGCAGAAACGTTAATTTGAAGAGGTAGGGATCAGAACAGTTAAACTAATAATCATATGAATGGCTTGTGCTTTATTCACACGAGATTATGATTATTTGGAGAATAGACGGTGAAGCAGGCCACTTGGTTTGGCATCCCGTCTTTTTCCTTATCAGGCTGTGTGATTTTTGAGGTTGCTAAACCTCTCTGGTTCTATTTCCTCCTTGATGAGATGAAGATAATTATCGGGATACCTACATTGGAGGTTTGGGGTGAGGATTTACATAGTTTGGCCAATGTAAAGTGATTGCAGTATAGCATCCCATAAGCACTTACAGCGTAAGCTATCACTCCCCCTTTCCAGAAAAAATATTACTCAGCCCCTGGAAATTAATTTTTTTAAATTTTAATAGCAGTTACTCATCGCCCCCAAATGCACCTGTGGCCATCACCGCCCCCCTGGATCGCCACAGCGCCTACCAGGCCAATGTAAAGTGATTGCAGTATAGCATCTCATAAGCACTTACAGTGTAAGCTATCACCTTCATCACCTTTACATCAAATCATTAAATTAGTTTAAGCAGTCAGATTGACACCTATAGTAAAGATTTTTCCCTAGGAGTGATCACTAAGTGTAGGGAAAGACTCTCGCCCAACAGGTGTGGCTCAGTGGTTGAGCGTCGACCTATGAACCAGGAGGTCATGGTTCATTCCCAGTCAGGGCACGTGCCCAGGTTTCGGGCTCGATCCTCAGTGAGGGGCATGCAGGAGGCAGCCGATCCATGATTCTCTCTCATCATTGATGTTTCCATCTCTCTTTCTCCCTCTCCCTTCCTTTTTGAAATCAATACAAATATATTTTAAAAAGAAAAAGGACTCTCAAACACTATTAGAGAGAGCATGACTTGGTACAAGCCTTGTAGAAGGCACCTTGATAAAATGGATTAAAATGTAACATACACGTATCTTGGAGCATTTGTATTCTGGGTATCTGTTGTAGAGCAGCATCTGAGACTTGAAGAGATATAATTACCCCTGGCCACACAGATGCTAAATGCCAGACGTGGGAATTGAATCTAAGTCTGTCTGGTCTCCCAGTCCTACCACGGCCCACTGTTAATAAACTTAGGAGAGAAAATGTTCAATCTCATTAGTTATAAAAAGAGTAGATATTAAAACAACCTGAGGCCTTTTTATTCCTGTGAAATTGCTGTATATGAAATAAAGATGCCCAGTGTTGTAAGGAAATGGCTGGTTTGGTTCACAGAGGCTAGGAGTATAAATTGATACAGCGCTGTAGGAGGGAAAAAGCCATCAAAATAGATATATCCTGTGAGTCAGCAATTCCACCTCTAGGGATTTATTTTGGGGAATGCATAACTCCTCTGTTCTTCAGTTACCTAATCGGTAAAATGTGAATTTAAAAAGTTTATATATCTCAGAGGTGGGTGTGAAATAATCAGGGAAAACAGTGACAAGTACACAGAAATGGCTTGTGAATGACACCTAGTTTTCAGTCTTATGTTAAGGTATATATTTTCACTCTCTTATCTTTTGAATTTAAAAAATAATGTAAGACACTGGGAGCATGTGCCGGGGGGTAGGGGAGGCCAGGGGAAGGCCAATGGGGGAAAAAAAGGAGACATATGTACTACTATTTGTAATACTTTAGACAATAAAATAAAATTTAAAAAAAAGAGATCATATTCATGAACTATCTAGATTCCATTTCTTGGACTCTATCCTAGAAAATGTTTGATCAAAATACAGAAAATCATGTATGCATAAAAAATATATGGGAAACATTCCCCATTGTAATAATAGGTTATTATTTTCAGTGTTTAATTATAATACTAAATATTGAAACACATGGATCTATTCCTAAACCCAGCCTATTCCACATATTTCCTCTTCCCCTTATACGCAACCTTTTCCCCAAAGATTTTCTGTCTAGCAGCCAGCCAGAAAGAGTGGAATCAACAGGAAAATTCAGAAAGTGTGTGGATTATTTATATTTTGAATATTACATAGCAATTTAAAGAAATGAGGCAGATCCATAGACTACTATAAACTTTTAAATCTGAATCATATTGACAGATGCTAAAATGAAGTTGCAAAGTCCATATAGTTTATGAATGTAAAGTCTCAATAAAAACTTAGGAAGGATCTGTGCCAAATTTCTATCTAGTTTCCATCTAGGGGGAAGAACTCTGGAAGTTCAGAGAAACTTTCATTTTTTTTCTCTGTTATTTTTGAAACTTTAAAAAAAATGTTTCAACTTGTCATTTATATATTTTAAGGTAATATGATATTCAAGTGCCAAACAGGAATAGCCTTAATTATATCTGAGGCCTTTTTATTACTGCAAAATTGCTGTGTGTTAAATAAAAATGCCCCGCGTTACAAGGAAATGGACAGTCTGATTACTTTAATGTCCCTAGGTGGGTTCTGTGTTTTGCTGACACAATGTTAGGACATTGAGAAAGAGGAAACGATCATTTACCAAATTAAAAAACATGCACACACACCAAAAAAAAAAAAAACACAACACAAAAAAACTTCTTTCACTATAAAATATTTCTTTTTATACTGATACCTCTTGTTCTTCTGTTTGACCTCCCCTGACCCTTAAGAAATCATGGAAATTTTAAGATAACAGTGTACAATGCCTGTGGGTCGAGGCAAAGCTCACTTGGATGCTAGTCAGCTTGGCAAACGGTCACGCCGCTTTTGTATTTATTTCTTTCAACTTTCACACCCACAATTTATTAAGTGAGACCGTGGACACAAGAGGAAGCTCCGGATCCTGTTTGGAACCCGTTTCGGAAGGAAACCAGGTCTTTATGGGGCACCCCCTTCCTCTTCGCCGCTGGCCAGGAAAGCCATCTCTCTGTTGAGGACCTATTCAATCTGGAGAGGTGGGGTGACTTCGGGAAGGAAGGTGACCTCTCCCTTGTAAAGTGGAATGGCTCTGTTTCCCGCCGTGACTTACTCGACTCATTTCCACCGCTGTTTATAAGAAACCTTGTGCTGAGCACTTGGAGTGACAGCAATAGTCATTTAAAATATGGCTTGGCCCGGCCGGCGTGGCTCAGTGGTTGAGCATCGACCTATGAACCAGGAGGTCACAGTTCCATTCCCGGTCAGGGCACAGGCCCGGGTTGCGGGCTCCATCCCCAATAGGGGGCGTGCAGGAGGCAGCCGATTCATGATTCTCTCTCCTCATTGCCCCTAATGTTGACAACTTTTATGCCCATGATACACTGGTCAAAACTAAACAACGAGGAAGAGAAGAACAACAACAAGAAAGAGAAGAACAACAAAAACTAAAATTCCACAGCACCTGACAGTGTCCATTTCTGTTAACTAACCTGTGGCCTTTGTTTGAATGCCACCAGCTTTTCCAATGATGTCCTTGTTCTCTTCCAGCGTCCAGCTCAGGGGACCTGCCACACTTGGCATTTAGTCGTCTTATCTCCAAAGTCTTCCGATTTGTGACAGTTCCCAAGAGTTTCCGTTTTTCCCATGACCTTGGCCGTCTTGAGGAATACTGGCCAGGGATTTTGTAGAATATTTATCTTGTTTTGATAAATAGAAATGTATAACCTCTGAGATTTTTGAAGGAAAGCCCATGGAGATGCCGTCATAATCTAGGCCACTAATTTTCCATTTAGATCATCAGTATCAATCTGGTAATTGTTGCTTTAGCTTTTTATCGGCTGTAAGAGCACTCTACGATGAAAAGTTGATTTAAGGTGATGTTAATATTTGCCTAACAGGTGTTTCATCTGTGTGTGCGTCTTGCATCCTCAACTCTGTGAGTTTGTGTAGTTTAAACCCCAGCAAACGTTTGTATTTTATCTATCGCTTATGACAGATTCGAGATGGACAAACGAATTGCTACGTATTGAAGAATAAAGATTTAGAACAAGCTTTTAAAGGAGTCATTTACTTGGAGATGGACCTCATCTATAATCCGGTAAGTCTAACTGGGCCATATACCTAATGGGGAAGGTGGCCAGCCTAGAGAGACTCAAATCCGTGTAAAATGTTTTAGAAGGTTTGCACAGAGGGAGAGTGAAGGAGAGAGGGAAAGAGAGAAAGAAAGAGAACGGTGTTTTAAAACCCAACCATTGCCCGGCCAGTGTGGCTCAGTGGTTGATCGTCCACCAATGAACCAGGAGGTCACAGTTTGATTCCCAGTCAGGGCACATGCCTGCGTACCGGGATTGAGCCCCATGTGGGGCGTGCAGGAGGCAGCCGATCCATGATTCTCTCTCATCATTGATGTTTCTCTCTCTCTCCCCCTCTCCCTTCCTCTTTGAAATCAACAAAAATATATTTAAAACAAACAACAAAAAACCCTTCTCCAGCCATCAAATCTATGCTGGACACTCCAGTTCTCAACTGGTATTAATCCTATTTTTCCAGATCATGGAGAGGAAATGAGATTTTTCTGTACAAAATAGGTTTATAACCCAGAAGCTCGTTTTCGCATGCCAGGTATGACTGGTGAAAATATAGCTCAAAACTGTGAAGTTTTCCTTTTCAGAGACTTTAGCCTGCGAACTTCATGAAGCTGATCTCTGCAGTGGTTTAAAATACCTCCGTTGGTTTGCAGACATCTTGTCGCCTTCCAAGACCAGATCTGGTCTCCCCTACCCAAGTGAAGTTCATGCAATGAGACCCTCCCACAAGCACACGCACACGCACACACATGCAGAGCGCAGGGGGACCACCATTCTCCACTCCCTGCCAGGGCCTTAGGGGTAAAAGAGATTGGTTTCCCGGTCCTTCTGGTTCATGAAGAAGAGGAGGGGAGGAATGAAATCTACAGAAATGCCTCCTTTTTTAACAAGGATGTCTTTCTAGGTCAAAGCCAGTATCAGGACCTTTACGCCCAGGGAAAAGCGCTTTGTGGAAGACAGCCGCAAGCTGTCCAAAAAGGTAGGTCTCTGGTGAGCTGGCTGTGGGTGCACTCAGCATGCGGGACCTGGAGTGCTGGCTGTCATATGCTGGCATCTCCCCTTCCCCTTTCCCTTCCCCTCTCCCTCCTCCTCTTCCTCCTCCTCCTCCTCCTCCTCCTCCTCCTTCTCATCTCTATCTTTACCTCTATCACCATCTCTACCTCTATCTCTACCTCTATCTCTATCTCTATCATCTCTATCTTTACCTCTATCACCATCTCTACCTCTATCTCTACCTCTATCTCTATCTCTATCATCTCTATCTTTACCTCTATCACCATCTCTACCTCTATCTCTACCTCTATCTCTATCTCTATCATCTCTATCTTTACCTCTATCACCATCTCTACCTCTATCTCTACCTCTATCTCTATCTCTATCATCTCTATCTTTACCTCTATCACCATCTCTACCTCTATCTCTGTCTCTATCTCTATCTCTGTCTCTGTCTCTATCTCTCTATCTCTACCTCTATCTCTATCTCTATCATCTCTATCTTTACCTCTATCACCATCTCTACCTCTATCTCTGTCTCTATCTCTATCTCTGTCTCTGTCTCTATCTCTCTATCTCTACCTCTATCTCTATCTCTATCATCTCTATCTTTACCTCTATCACCATCTCTACCTCTATCTCTACCTCTATCTCTATCTCTATCTCTGTCTCTGTCTCTACCTCTATCACCATCTCTATCTCTACCTCTAGCTCTACACCCCTATATCTATCTCTCTCTCTTCTATCATTCTCAGTCCCCACCTCTCCACTCCTTTCTCCTTTTCCCCCCTTCTCTCCCAAAACAAGGACTTCAGTCAGTTTAATAAGCAGGGAAAGACGCAGCCGATATCTCTTGGATGAGATAGAAGGTGTCAGCCCTCCGTTAACCTCCTGAATCATCCTCTGAACAGAATTCCTAGCCTCAGGCCCCCGTACGCGTTCCCCAGATCTGCGTGCCCTGCCCACCTTCCTCTAACCATAGCCATGTCTGTCCCCGCCCTTCAGTCTCAGGGAGATATTCTGGCCTTTACAGTCATAAAGAAATGAACCCAGTGGATCTTTAGAGACCTCTAGCCTGGGACTCCCACAGCTTCTCCTACCACATTCGTATTGTCCGAATTCGGGGGGCGCTGCCACTTCCCCTCGTTCGGAATGGCCTGTCTCTCTCTCTGTCTGTTGCCCTGAATTCTTCTGTCCTCACCTCAACCAAAAGTGAGGCCCGGAGCCCAGGAGGGGAAGTGGCACATTCTTTGTCAGGCGTGACTCTGCCATTTATCTCCGGGCCCCTCCCTGTCCTGTGCAGACAACCTTCGGGGTTTCGCTCTGTCCCTATTGTCCCCCTGTCGTTGTGCAACAAAGAACAAAGTGTCCCCTTTTCAAAGTATTTATTACTTCCCCCGCGTCCTGTGGGGTGAGCAGCTGCGGATGACATAAAGCCGTTACGTAGAAAGGGCGTCTTATCATCCTTCTGTTTCCCATGAACTTCTGGGCGCGCTCGGGCCAGGCCCCCGCCACCCTCGGGAGGGAACGTCCCAGTGTTTTGCTTCGTCTGCAATAACAGGGGCTGTCGTGTTTACTTGGTGTAATCGGAGGCGACCTCTTATTTTTTTATTTTTATTAGTATTAGTATTGCCTGTTGGGCTCTGTTTACTTGAAAGTTAAACCCTGAGGTGGGGTAGCTGCTTTGGCAAACGAACTGAAATGAATCCTCCTGCAACTGGGAGAAAAGACATTTCCTTTGCCAAACACGGACCACCGCGTGGTGGGGTGGCTTCGGGCTCTGAGAGCGCCAGCGGGGTGGGGCTGGGGTCCTGGGGTGCTGGGGTCTGATAGGATCCTTCCCAGATGCCTCTCACCACTAGGTGTCCCCTCGTTCTCATAAGATCGAACTTGTGCTTCTGATGCAAATGCTTAAAAGCACTTAACTATGTGACAAACACTCGCAAGTGCATTCATTCTCTCCACAGTCAAGATTGGTACATGGCCTAAGAGAGAGGTTAAGAAACCAGCCCAAGGTCACACAGCTGGGAGATGGGAAAACTGCATTCCTTTGCCAGAGCTAGCCTTTCCTGTAGACTTTTTTTAAAAATTGATTTCAGAGAGGAAGGGAGAGAGAGAGAGAGAAACATCAATGATGAGAGGGAATCACAAATCAGCTGCCTCCTGCACGTCCCCTGTTGGGGGGGGATCAAGCCCACAACCCCGGCATGTGCCCTTGGCCGGAATCAAACCTGGGGCCCTTAAGTCCGCAGGCCGACCCTCTATCCACTGAGCCAAACCAGCTGGGGCTCCTATAGACTTTTTCTTCTGGTCTCGATTAGTTAAAATACCTGTACATTTCTACTATAAATTGTCCATTTCCTTCTAAACTAAACAGGTAGCCACTTGTTCCCACTTTCTGTCTTTCTGTCTCTCTCTCTCTCTCTCTCTCTCTCTCTTTCTCTCTCTCTCTTACACACACACACACACACACACACACACACACACACACACACACTCACACCCCCCAGATGCCTGGCTTCTGTCATTTTCTTCCAGCTCAGTTTGGTGATGAACACGTTTCAAACGGCTCCTCCTCTATCAAAGGTGCCATCAAATGCATCGCATTCCCTTTTCCTGTCTGGATGATCGGACTTTAAAAAGAATTTTAGAAGAAGCTCGAGAACTTTTCTCCTGTTTTTCAATGGGCAGCAATACAGAATACAATGGAGACGGCCAGGCTGCCTGATCCACACCGAATATGTGGAGCATTCAAATCTCCTTCTCTGTTTCCCCTGTCTTCCGACCAGATCTTATCCAGAGATGTGGACCGCGTGAAAAGGATCACCATGGCGATATGGAATACACTCCAGTTCCTGAAAAGCTGCTTCCAGTGGGAGTCCACGCTGAGGAGCACCATCGCGTTTGTGGTGAGCGGCCTCTTTCAGGCTCATGTTGTTGGTTTCCCAGGCCCAAGTTCACGTGCAGAACACGGGCTTTATGTTAACTGACACGAAGCCAAATGCAACACTGAACCTCGTAACAGCTCACACCTGGAAGGAAACTGAAAAACCTCAATGGGCCCTGGCCGGTGTGGCTCAGTGGCTAGAGCGTCGGCCTGCAGACCAAAGGGTCCCAGGTTCGATTCCGGTCAAGGGCATGTGCCTCGGTCGCATGTTGGGTTCCTTTTCAGCCTGTCTACCTCCACTTCCTACCCGAGTTCTCTTACAGACTTTGTGTGGAATGTTCTGGGCAAAAAAGGAAAGTCAACACCATTGGTGGCTTCTTCCAGCGGGCACCCCGGCCGGCCTCTGCCAGGAGCAGAGCGTTTCCTCTTTCTTGAGCTTCGTTTCTGGCACCGGGAGGTGTAGCAAAACAGGTCTGTTGCCCGGGGTCATGCGGGAGAATGACAGCAATGATTAATGGGCTGCCGGGCCGATCTGAGGAAAGATTATACGGGGGGGGGGGGGGGGGGGTGCATGGTCTGTTCCCTCTGCCGGGCCGTTCCCTGTGCAGACGCAGGCTGCCATGTCGCCCTCAAATCTCGGGGCCCTGTAGGAGAGAAGATAAAGGGGTGCTCTTCGTGCTGGGCTCCAGACTGTGATTTTGCAAGGATCCCTGGATTCATGAGACTGTGGGAGGCCCCACTCTATGGGGGTGGGGGGGTAGTTTCCATTGGACATCATTGAAAAAAGTACAGAATTAAGTAGGAATGATGCAGGCATAACCTCTCTCTCTGGGTTGTGCTGAAGGTACTGGGGTGGAAAGCGCTCACTTAAACACGCTTAGTTTTCACTTTTAAATATATATATTTTTTGATTGCAGAGAGGGCGAGCTCTCTCTGGGTTGTGCTGAAGGTACTGGGGTGGAAAGTGCTCACTTAAACACGCTTAGTTTTCAGTTTTACATATATATATTTTTTGATTGCAGAGCGGGAGAGAGAGACACATCAATGATGACAGAGAATCATTGGCTGGCTGCCTCTTGCACACCCCACACTGGGGATCAAGCCCACAAGCCAGGCATGTGCCCTGACCAGGAATGGAACCGTGACCTCCTAGTTCATAGGTTGATGCTCAACCACTGAGCCACACTGGCCTGGCTGGAGGCCTTTCTATATTAGAAACTAGAGGCCCGATGCATGAAATTCATGCACAGGTAGGGTCCCCAGGCCTGGCTGGCGATCAGGATCGATTTGTGGGGCATTTGGAGGGGCCCCCCCGCTGGCACCCGCCTTGGCTGGCCTGGGGCCTGTGGGCTGGGGGCAGCTCCTGCATTGAGCGCCTGCCCCCTGGTGGTCAGTGCACATCATAGCGACTGGTTGTTCTGCAAAATGGTTGATTTGCATATTAGGCTTTCATTATATAGGATTGGGCTGCGGTGTGTAAGGGTTCCCTGCACAGGTGTGAAGAGGACCCTTTGGGTGAAGCAGTACCCACGGGGCTTTTCCTTCTCCTCCAGGTCCTGGGAGTCCCACTAGCCCCACACGCTAAGGGCAAAGGTGTAGGAATTTTGTTCTCCCTTCTGTTTTGTCAGATAACATGAAAGAGCCTGTTAATATCATGTTAATGTCTCTGTTTTCAGATGACACAAAGCAAGAATGTTACAGGATCACGTTTAGTATATTCTGGCTGTTAATTTTAAAGACTTTATGAAAGCAAACCATCCGTCTTCTAGATTCCTTTGGATGTGTGTATGAATATATCATATCTTGATGAAAGCAGGCATTGAAGAAAAGCAGTCTGTTAAGACCTAGTCCACGTGGTGGCCGGTCAGAAGTGGATGGGCCGACATGAAATAACTTTTATCTTGTTGGATGGTCCAAGCATAAACCTCCCCTACCATGGGGTCAGTCCTACCCCCATAGACATTGGGGTTGTATTCCCAATAGTAAGCGAAGAAAGTTCGCTTTAATTCTCTTTAATACACTACAAGTGTGGATGTTGCTGTATGCTGTTGATTTCGTTGTTATTGTAAGAAATTAAATTTGGGCTTTCTTCGAGTGGCCAGAGCATTCCAAACCACGCTTCTGCTGGCTCAAGGTTTTTGTTAGAGTGATGATGGAAAATCTTGCTCATTAGCTTTTTAAGTCTTTCTCTTTCCTCTACATTTTCTAGACATTTTTATGTCCTTTTCTGAGCTTTATTGGTTTGGTATAAAATATATATATATATATACACACACACACACACACACATACATATACATATATATATGAATTGAATTTGTTCTCAAAAGGTAACGTTGCATTGTGATATTGGCATTATAGAATCAATTATATCTGTGGGTGTTTTGGGTTTCGTTTGGTTTTCTATTGGGTACTTATATTTCTCACACCCCAATATTATATGTTAAAAAACCCAAAGAGACATTATGGCATAAATCCATTAATTTTTTCATAGGACAATACAGCCTTCATTTGACAGATGGCATCCTCAGAAGATTATTTAAAACAGCAAAGGCCCCCTCATGCTGCAGAAAAGGGCTGCGTTTGTGTAGTTGGCTGTCCTGCCAGTCCCGCAGGCCCACACCTATTGCAGCCAGGGAGGCAAGTCTGCGGGGCATTGATAGATTCCTTGTTTTATTAAATTTTTTCTTGGACGTTTGATGTTAAGAAGTAATCTAAATCGACCATATATCAATGGGCATCTTCATAAAGCTGGGCTTCTCACATCTGTGACTTTTCCCTGAATGTTTTGAGTGCAGATAAATGAAGAACGTATTCTTCAGAGTTGACAGGGCCTGTAATATGATGCTTAATTTAAAGCATCAATCACGCCCCCCCCCACTCACCCCAATAAAGTTAAAAATACAATTCTCGACTTTCTTAGTGATATCCCATATTTAGCATATACAGAAATCTTCGTGTGTAGAGATCCCAGAATTTTGAGAAATGATTTCATATTAAACTTAGCCCTAGCTGATTCGGCTTGGTGGATAGAGCATTGGCCTGTCCAGGGTTCAATTCCTGGTCAGGGCACATGCCCGGGTTGTGGGCTTGGTCCCCAGTAGGGGGCGTGCAGGAGGCAGTCGATCAGTGATTCTCTCTCATCATTGATGTTTCTATCTCTCTTGCCATTCCTCTCTGAAATCAATGAAAAAAATATTTAAAAAAATAAAAATAAAAGCAGGAGCAGCAATAACAGAACTAACCCTTCCAACACACACACACGCAAGCACACACGCACACATGCATACAACACACACACACACACACACACGCAAGCACACACGCACGCATGCACACGCACACACACACAAGCAGAGGGCATTTGGGAAACAAAAACATTTCTCGGTGGAACATCTCATGAGTACAGTTTAGGAACAATTTTAATATGAAATCTTAAGGATCGCTTGTCTAGGATCCCTTCCATGGCCCAAGGAACATTAATGACAACTACATTGAAAATCTGTTTTCAAATGGACTATTAACATAGTGCTGGTCAAATTTTTTTTTTAAGCCTTAGATATTTGTGGGTTAGCTCTGTCTAAAAAATGTACCTTTTCTTTAGGTCCTATCACCAGTGTATTCGCAACTAGATGTACCTGCCTTTGATTAAATTTCAGCGGCTGTTTCTCCGGCCACCAGAAGTCACAATCACATGTGCAAAGCAGACCTCACTGTCTGTTTGGTAGGTGTTTGTGCAGTTGTAGCTCAAAGACTCACAGGATTTCCCTGAAGCTGAAAAAAGTTACAATAATCACTTTTCCTGAAAGAGAAGATTTTTTTTTTTAATTTTATTTCAGAGAGGAAAGGAGAGGCGGGGAGAGATAGAAACATCAATGATGAGAGAGAATCATCAATTGGCTGCCTCCCGCACACCCCCACTAAGGATCCAGCCCACAACCCAGGCATGTGCCCTGACCAGGAATGGAACAGTGACCTCCTGGTTCATAGGTCAAGGGTCAACCACTGAGCCACGCCGGCTGGGAAGATATATATATATATAGATATAGATATAGAT